CAGAGGAATAAGGAGCCAGGAAGCAGCACTCATTCATTCATGAACAGTATTTTGATTTTCTTCTTCAAGCCTCGATGCACTGATTACAATGAAGAAGGTCAAAGTGATTTTGGGTGAAAAATCTTTCCTGCTGGATGAACCCTTCAATATTTTCCTCATTTGTTCTCTCCTTTTGCCCCCTTTTTAAATTCTTACTTTTCTTTTTGTCCATGTATCTCTTTTGATGGTTCTTTTTTACTCCAGTCCATCTCAGCAATAGACTTAAATACATTTTGCACATTCCTTCCATGCTTTTGCAGTTGATATAAAACTGGTGTATGAATATGTATGCTGGAGAAGCCAGAATATTGCCTATGGTGAACCGCTATGCATAATGCAGCCTTTTCTGTCTCGTCTACATTTATTCAGACACACACATTCATACCATCACGTGCACAGAGAAACAGGGCTATAAATTCCTCCTTCTCCCTCCCTCTTTAACTCTTTCTCCCCATAAAACAGACACACGCAGAGTCACATAAATACATTCTTAATTGCAAGTAGATTTTCAATATTGCGATCCATGCAGCACTACAGATAACGGCCCACAAAACCCATTCAGGTCAAATAATAGCCAAAGCAAGTCTTTGCAGTGATAATGCATGCAAAAAGCAAAACATAAAAGACACGATCGTGTTTGATGGAGAGGAGGGTCTCGTTTAGATTAAGATATCTCTCGTTTAGATTATTGCTGCATGGCAATGTGTCAGTATAGTTTTGTGTGCAGTCAGAAAATTAACAGTGTCTCATATAGTTTCATTAAACATTGCAGTTAATAAAAGAAAGAAAAATTCTGGATTGAATATAGGTGGTGTGTGTGTGTGTGTGTGTGTGTGTGTGTGTGTGCGCGCGCGCGCGCGCGCTGAGGTGCAGGGTGGGGGTGGGGGGTTAAAGGCCCTGCATACAACTTATGCAGTGTCAGTGAAATATTAGGCAGCCATTTCGGTGTTTGAAAATTCACATCTCACACTTCAAAAAGATGATTTCCGCTGTTGAAGCGAGTGTCAGAGTTGTGGTGATGTGTTTTTTTCTCCTCTCCCTCAGACACAGGACCATAAGTTGTCAGTAAGCAGAACACAAGAGAGAGGCGGAGTGAAAGAGAGTTGATTGTTACTATGGACTGTGGTAGTTTCACTGCTATTTTGGGGTTGGGGCTTACTTATGTCCTAAGACATGAGACATGGCTTTCTGTGGGAGAAACGGGCTACCGGACACGACTTTGAGCAACCTGTGTAAGCCGTCAAAGTCGATCTCTGTGTGACTTGTTTACTTAAAAAATACCCTCATCATCCTTAACAGAAAGCAAAGATCACCGAAATCATTTGGATTGGAGTCCAGACCCCAGGTAATGCTGAAACTATGACCTCGCACCAACTTGTCGACGAGGTTCATGTGTTTCAAAGTACACAAAATGGCACAATGTTCAGACTGAATATGAGGCCGAATGGCTCGTTCGGATGGACGTGAGCAGAGCGACATTTGACAGTGAACCAGCCAAATATGACACGCAGTCCTACAGCTTTAAACTGTTGAGCCGTGTGTCTCCGACAACACTTTAAAGTTGTGTAGGCAGAGCCGGGAAAATTAGACGCGGAGCTCTCAAGTGTGACTTGGAAGAATTTAAGTGATATTTGACATGTGCGTCGCAGATAGACTGGAAAGTGAATTCCAGCCATATAATTAAATCCAGTCGGGCCGGACTGCAATAACCTCTGATGTTGTGTTTAGAGGGGTTTAAAAAAAACAGAAGGGGTGCCAAAGGAGAAGGTCACCTTTGAATGTCCTTCATTACCACGATTCTGGAGTAATATATATGTGTGTGTGTGTGTGTGTGTGTGTGTGTGTGTGTGTGTGTGTGTGTGTGTGTGTGTGTGTGTGTGTGTGTGTGTGTGTGTGTGTGTGTGTGAAGAAATCAATCGATAAATTAAAACAGAATAAACAACTCCAGAGATGGCATCTTACTTCTATCAGCCGCTAAGTTTTCCAGTCCAGAAACAATACATCCGAGTCCATCGTGCGGGTGTAGCCGAGAAGCCACCAGAGTCTGACTCATACCGCAATTACAGGGCTCCCCCTCCAAGCACTTCTCCAGTAGTCGGTGACTGTTTTGTTTCCAAATTTGCACACAGCCCCGCGGTGTGCGCACATCAGCGGGTCAGGCCGCTCTCAAGAATATGAAGGTGTCCCAAAGGAAGGCGAGAACACTGACAGGTGATCCTCTAGCAGATACCCAGAGGAGATACCCAAACTACTCTCCATACTTAACTTGTGTCGAAACACTCTTTATATGTCGTACACCAAGTCAGAATGTAAAGACAGTAAAAGTGTGGCATCATTTAATATCACAGCGCTCAGACACAAAGCAGATAGGGACACACTGCATTCGAGTCTCAAGGTTAAGAAAGAGAAACACACACGTTTAAATAAAGTTCTGAAATAATATATAAGTCAACGTGTTTTGTAGCTATGTGGGAGGAACAGCATGATGCAGACGGTTAATTTTACGTGTGTGTTGCAGGAGGCCTGTCGACCAAAACTGGATAAAACCGGAAAGATGTTAATTGATGAAATAATTATAGCAAGAGCTTAGTCCGCGTCCATGTCGATCACTACATGGCGTTTTCCTTGAAAATTGTATAAATACTGATCGAAATTCCTCGAATTCCACTCTGTACCGTGTGCCCCATTTCTAACAGTTCTTTTTAAATGTATTAATTGCAATATGGCTTCCCTTTTCCAGTTTCCCGGGCCATATTATGGCCTGTCAGGCCTGACAGAAGATTCCCCCACAGCCCTCAGCTGTGTTTGTCTCAATCTTATTTCCATAAAATGACAAGCAGCCTCCCAAATCATGACAAAGAAGAATGGCTGTACTCCCCCTCCCTCTTCTGCCTCTGTCCCCCCATCCATCCATCCATCTATCTATCTGTCTATCCCTGTTCTCTCCCCCTGCTCTCCGCACTCATGGGTGCAGGTGTGCTGGGGGGGGGACGCCAAACCAACAGCCAAGAGTGACTGAATGAATGTTTAATTAATGAAAGAAAGAAACGATAAAGTTAAACATCTCGCAAAATATCATAACACATAGCGAATCCTCATAATCATGTTTATAAAAAATAAAAAAGACAAATTGTGTGTCATTCTAGGAGGCGCGGCCGAACCAGCAAAATACGCAGTACTAATGCATATGCATGTATGATAATAGACCTACCCTTTCCCTTATTTTATAAAAATCAAACATATATAAAACACTCAGCGACCCCATAAAACAACAAATCACTGTTGGATCGTGCAAAACGATGGGAACATGGCGTAGGAAAAACAACGGAAAAATTGAAGTTTGTTTTCCACCGCGTTATCTACATCTCTCCCATCTCAAGCACTCTTTCCGCTCCAGTGGCTGTTTGCAGCCCCCAACCCTTCCTCCCCTCCCCTCCACCATACACACAGGCACACACTCACATCTCGTTCAGTCACGGGACAGGGCGATGTACAGTCTGTATAATCGAAATAGACCCTGTAATCCAATTACATATAACAAAAACAGCACAGAAGCCCTCGCCGCAGCTGCAGCCTGAAAGAGGGCACTGCCAAGGCCAATCATGGCGACTGGCATGAGCATGAAACAGGCGCACTGCCCACAGTTATAAAGACATTTTTGCAACTTCTCTCTAATTTGTGAGATTAAAATGGTTTAGAATCACGTGTATTCGGTTACAGACCTGTGCGTAAAGGAACGAAAGAACATTTACTATAAACACTAAACACATTATTTCATTGTGTGGCTTTCATGAAGTGTTTGGAAATTAGTAGACAAACAACAGAAGATTTTTTTTTTAAATTTAAAGGGAAAAATGAATCATTACTTCGTATCTGCAGTATTTAGAGCGAAGCCAATCAGTGAAATCTGGTGCCACAGAAAATGGTGGATGAATAATTAGACCAGGGGTGATAACAACCGAGCCTGCACACGCTGACACTCCTATATTTTGCCAAAGAAAATAAACGGTAAGATATGGCATCGTATTTTAATTATCCAACTGGGGCAAATTATCTGCAAATTAAAGGCCAGTGGTCAATACCCAGTTCACACGTCTATCATAAAACGTATTGACCCTTGTTGCCTCGCACCCGCATCCAATCAGCACACAACGATGTTTATGCAATAGTTCAGTGTTCATTCAAAAAGAAAAACTGAGAAAAAAGATTCTTTAACCTCTAGGGACCCGCTTCTTCCCCGCTCCCATGTCACCTAAGCTCCTTGTGTGCGCATTCTCGCGCACACAAACTCACACCCTATCATCTTATTTGTGCTTCGACGGGACAGCAAAAAAAAAGTCAGTAAATATATTAAACTCCTCTGCCTCCTTGGACTTTTGCGAGTAAACAGTCTACAACTGTGTCCAGCAGCAGCGCTCGAGGTCGCCCCTTTATCCGTGCGCGCGCCTGCAGATCCTTATCAGCCTCTCCTCCTATTCAACAGCCTCCATATTCACGACACCTCCACATATTCATCATGCAAAATGCAAATGCCGTTATCTTTCTCATCTCAACGAAAGGCAGTGTTCACTTCAGAGATCTTTGTGCTTTTTCTTTACTGTCATCCGACGGCAGGGCATGTTGATTTTATTCTCCGATTGAACCAAAATTTTTTTTATCATTTTAATAATATCATCAGATAATCACAGTGAGGACGTGCGATGAATCAGCCATCATGTTCTCTTCCAAAAATCATGGCTGCTCAGGAAAGCATCTTCGCCAAACATAAAAAAAAGTTACAATTCTTCCTCTAACGGCAATTTTGGAGTTTGAGTCATTCGTTTTAGACGTTAATTCGTTTAGTCCAGCACAATTCATCACCCGGACAACGTAACAAACATGCACAGACAACTTCAGCATTGCACTGGTAAGGGGGCAACATGCAGATGAGCAACACTTGAAGAGACACAATTCAAGCCTACCTTCTTGCAAAGAATACAGCAGAAGTAAAGTTACAAGCCACATGCCATTAAAAGCAGTTATATTTCACAGGAATTTTGTGCAGTCCCCAAGAAGAGTGCACGGCGCAGCGGTCGGCCAGGCGAGGCTCCGTGCTGGACTGGTTCTGCTGATGCTCCCCGGCGGTCTCTCCAGCCCTGGTCCCACACTCTCCAGCGCCGAGAAAGAGGCAGCGGAGAAAGTACCGCCTCTGTTCCCTGTATTCTCCTCCCCTCACCGGGACAGGCTGCCGTTGCCCCACCCTCGGTATCCTAATGATGCGCCGTGGTGGAGAGGTGAGCCATAAGTACTAAATGGGGACCAAACGAAAACCACTGGCACCGCTGTATTACGCGCACTGAATAGATTCTTTAATCCGGTGATGGGATGGAGCTCCAAGTGCAAATTTCAAAATTCCCCGACATACAAGTCATTCAAATTTGGTTTTCAGGCAAGGGACTTCAAATAGAAATGAAAATGCTCGTGATTTCCCATGCAAATCAGCCTAAGAATTTCCATGAATCGCTTTTTTTGTCGTTACACTGGTGCACTTAGAAAGTAAAAGTAAATTCTCCACAGGATCAGTTGTGGCATTGGGGAAACAGAAAACTCCATTGGCAAGCGCAAATTCCACACCCGGAGGAGGAAAAAGAGAACAGAGAAGCTGCAGCCTCCATATCCTACTAGAGGAAAGTGGGAATGATGTGCGCTGCGCACCTGCATGTAGCTACCAACAGTGGTGGCGCTGAAGTCACATTTGATACTGAACAGCAGACTGATATTATTCTACACCACACCTCACCACAGCGTTGATGGATATCTCATTAAAAAACAAATCTGTGTACATGCGCCTTTCTCTCACTGTAACACTCAGACACACTGAGGAGCTGCACTTGAAGTTGGTGTTACTGGTTTATGACAACAGGTGTTTCTGAAAGAGGGGTCCAATACTTTCATCTTAACTACAGCTATTAAGCTGGTGTATTTACCAAGTCATTTAAATGGCATGGTAGCAAAAAAAAGTTGTGAAAAAAGTTGTGACCGGGGAATGTTTACCACTGTGTTGCATCACCTCTTCTTTCAACAACAATCTCTAACTGAGGAGACCATCTGACGCAGTTATGAAAGTGAAATGTTTTCACATTCTTGCTTGATGTAGGGCTTCGGTTGCTCAACAGTTTGGGGCCTCTGTGGTATTTTCTTTTCATATTTTTAGCAGTTTTCAGCTGAACAGCTACAGTCAGAGCGGTTCAGCTGTCTGATTCTTTTATTAAGAAGCCAATTTGTTTAGCATTGTCTTAACCTGGATGGATGAATAGCATTTATATAACACTCTACATTCATGGCACCTTTACACATGAGATTATTATCTATACCATGTTTGTGTGTGTGTGTGTGTGTGTGTGTGTGTGTGTGTGTGTGTGTGTGTGTGTGTGTGTGTGTGTGTGTGTGTGTGTGTGTGTGTGTGTGATTTATTGTTACTTTTTCCCTGTAACACTGTAACAATAAAATAGCAGTTTAAAGATACACATGTATTTAAACTGTGGTATTCCAGAGGACCCAGAGAAAATCAACCAGCCACATGGAATCACAGAGGTGATGGTTTATATGTGTATTAAATACTGTTTGTTTAACTGAAGTAAAGTGAAATCTTTAACTCTGAGATCTTATCTCATTTCCTTTTGTATTTGACCAAACATAGACACTATAAAGACACCAACTTTTTGGCCATCAAAAAACTGCACAAAAGTAACTTTAAGTTATTGCAGTAATTAGTCTTAAGGTACAGATTATAACTGTAGAAATACAAAACTGTTTCACTGTCTCTATGTCTCTGACAGGCCTAAAATTCTTGTCCATTTAGTACTGGTTTTTGGCCTTGCTGCTTGCATTCAGTGACTTCTCTGGATTATCTGAATATTTTTATGATAAGTAATGGAAATGATGAAGTGCCAGCATTCATTCCCATTTTATATTAACATGTGTTGTTCTTAAATTGTTCAACTATTTACCCAGGCAGTGATTCACAGAGCATTGTGCCCCTCACCATCTGTATTTGTGAAAGACTCTGGATTTAACCTCACTATTCATGAGACATCGATACCTTCAAATTCAAAAACTGTTTTTTAGAAAAAGGAAAGTTCTTAGTTTCAACATTTGATGTCACCTCTTTCCAATTTTCAGTTGAACACGGGGTTTAAATGATTTGTAAATGATTAACTTCTACTTTTAATTAACATTTTAGCTACACTTTTTGTAAAACAGGGTTGTATTCTGTCATATTAAAATCACAAGTAAAACAGAATTGTTATACATATGCCATAACCAAGTTGAGCAACTGTGTCTCAGGAGGTTGCACTGGTCGTGGGAAGGTGGCTGGTTCAATCCATGGCTCCTCCACACTGTGTGTTAAAGTACGTGTCATTGGGAAAGACACTGAACACAACCACTGCCCCTCAATCTTTTGCTCCAAAGAAAGCTAAAAAATGTTATATAAATGCAGCCCATTTCAAAAATACGATTACCATTGTTCAGCACACTATGACTTCACACTACTTTCACCAGCAGATATGAAAAAGGATAAAGCAGTGTAAGACATTTTGCAGTTACAAAATCATGTTTTGCATAAATTTACACTGAAGCTCAGCACAACCTAAACATACAGCGTCAGAAATTTGGTTGTCCAACTAAATGGATCCTCTGCTGATGTAGTGTCACATGCACTGACTGATTTACTGATAAGTGTTATTCATGTTTTGAACCACATTCTTTAGTTGATATTCTTTAAAAAAATGTTCGAAATAATTTTAGGCCATTATGTATTTAATACTTAAAAAATTCTACCAATATGCATTCTCATACAAGATTTACTTCATCACCTGACTAGTCAGCACAAGCTTGGCTTACTGTTGTTTACCCATTTCAGACCAACCACAGAGGCCCCACTTGAGTCCACTCAGTTGTCCTACTCATCTAACATCAATCACCTTCTACTTGACGTGAAGAACTCCCTTCTAACCTCTGCCATCACTCTTTCTGTGTCTCTCGGTGGTGCAATGTGATGTTCTGAGTGTCTTAACCAAAAGCAGTGCTACTTGTGGAAGCTGAGGAAAGCTGTGGCCTCTCTCCCTCCCACTGAAGAGCCGCTGTAGTGTGGCAGGCAAGGAAGCACACTGTGCCTCCACTCTCTGTTATGTAACAGGTGGAAACACACACCCACGCAACCTGTCTCTCTCTCACACACAGACCCACAAATATGAACACACAAACACCACACAACAAGAAGGAATTTTTGTTGAGAGTGCACAGTGGCACTTTTATTTCATATTCTGTGTATCCCGATATGTCCTTATGTGAGTACATTTTCAGCTTTATGCATTTCGCTAGTTGAACATTTACAGCCTAGAGTGCACTGTGAGTGAGATGGGCTCGCTTGTTGAGAAATCCGACAGCCCTCAGAAAACATGATCTGCCTCTGGATCATGTATTCTGAGCCTCAATACTCCTGCTGTCCTAAACCAGCACCTAACACATTAACACTTCAACTAAGCTTTTTGCACACACGTCTCACCCATCTGCCCTATCCTAACATTTCAAGTCTCCGCCAGGACTTCAAAAGGCAGTGTGGCAAGCTAGTTAAGGGGCTGATGTGAGCTGGCCTGACAACACCAAGCAGGTTATACTGTATGTCAGCCAGTGATCATCATGGAGACTGACAGGCTGAGGCGGGCCAGCCAGGCCAGAGAAAAAGCAAGCAGCTCCCTGACAGCTCTAGTGGCTGTCACTGTGGACAGGATCCAGGACAGGCTGCCACCACACCGCTAAAAACCACAGCAGAATGTGACTCATCTCCATCACTCCTCCATCGCTGCCCGGAGATAGGGAAGAAAATGGGAAGCAAGTGTATTAAGAGAAAGAGAAGAAGAGAGTTTGGGCGAGGAGGGTGGAAGAGAAACAGAGAAGGCTGAGGGAGGGGCAAGGTGCAGACAGAGAGTGAGGCAGATGAGTTAATGTCGATGTTAATGTTAATGTTCAGACAATCACAGCTCCCCTCAGGCCCTGACTACATGCTAGGATCATATTAGCGTTAATGTATCCAGTATTAATGCACAGCCCCTCAGCCCAATGAAACCTTAGAAAGGCTAGAATTAAGAAGGGAAAGGGGTACATGGTATTGCTGCTTAAGCCTGATGCAAGGTCACAGGGATCAAAATGAGCAGAACTGCAGGAAAACAAATGATGGGGTTAAATTATGTTTTGAGGATCAGGGAAAAGCTGCATTTGGTCATTTGTTGATGGGTCAGTTGAAGGAGTTATCCTTTAGAAGAGTGAAAATAGAATCTAAAAATACCAAAACTACAGTTTACATTAAGAGGCAGTTCAGAATATGGTCAAAGTTAACGGGCGTGCTAAAGCAGGATAACTGGATCTGCATGCATTTTTTGTGTGAACAAGCCTCTGCATTAGGCTAATATGAATCACACACCACCATGCTGCAGTACATTAATAGGAAGCTGCCAACCAATGGAGTGTATTTGCCTTAAACCGAGCATGCGTGATTGTTGTAGCAGATGCGTTAAAGTGTATCAGCACATCAGAGGATGTGTGCGTACGTGACCATGTGTCTGCATGACGGGAAAGCACAGGACATAGAATTCTGGCTGCCATCCTACCGTACCGCGCTTGCATTGCTAAGTGTTTGCATGAGTGTGAATGTGCGTGCACGTGTGTGTGTTTTTGCATGCGAGCACATGCGCATGCACAAAATACACCAAGGGGTGCTAATTTATTCAAATGAGCTGGGGAGGATAACGAGACGATAGGGTGCAGGGCGGAGGACGTGTATGTGCTATAAGGGGGGACAACTTCTTTGGCTGGTAGTTCATCTCTTCAGCCCCCACCCCTCATCCACACACTTGTTTTTTTAGGTTTGCAAATGAGACTATTTGCACGGCTGAGACAAGGGAAGGCAAGAAAGATGGTGGGGAAAAAAGGGAGAGACAAATATCGGAGACGTGGAACGTTGCGATTCTGAAGCAGACGGAACGCCTTCAGACAGAAACATACTGTGCCAGGGCGATACCACCACTTTCAAGATGGCTGCCGCTGGAGCTGTCCTCTGTGGGAGCAACCCAGAGACCGACTACTCTTGCTCCATAGCGAGTGACATACAAACACATTTACTAGCTTTGCGTTCCGGAAGCTTAAAAAGAAGGAAATTTGCATAGCTCGGTAAAGGATTAACATCATCATTTGAAAGTGAATACATTAA